AAGCTCCCTGGTTCACGGACAATCTTAAACTACAAAAACAGTATCGAAATCGATTAATGTCTAGGTACAAGAAAACAAAAAGTGTCCGAGACTGGGAAGCGTATAAAGATGTTAGGATTTGTTTTACGCAGGCCGTGGGAAATGATAAAATGAAAAAAAAGCACTCGAGTTCATGTCTAGTAAAAAGTTATGGTGCGCACTATGTAGATCAAATGAATGTACCTATATAAAAGCAAAAAGCGTGTTAGTCCTGAACTGCCGTCGCATTTGAAGGAACCAAATACAATTAATAATTTTTTTATTGACTCGGTTCGGCAGATATCATTTCCTATAAACATTGAATTTTTTTTTGTCGTATCAGAATAGTATTCATACTTTATGCACAAGTGCACAACGGTTTTCATTCCTTGAATTTACGGAAAATGACGTCCTTATAGCTATCCAACAGATAAAGTCGAATGCATCGGATCCGGATGGTTTAACACTCGATATGCTCAGGCTGTGCTATCCTGTTATTGTTCCTTTTCTTGTCCATATTTTCAATGTCTGTATTCAAAAATTCGTTTTTCCCACTCAGTGGAAGCAGGCAATTGTACTAACACATCAAAAAATAATCAACCGCTAGATTTCAAAGACATACGGCCTATTAGTTTATTGTCAGTTCTTTCAAAAGTCCTTGAAAAACTTCTTTTTGGTCAGCTTAATGCGTATTTGAATGCAAGCAAATTATTGCCTCGTTTCCAGTCTGGCTTCAGAAAAGATAATAGCACTGGCCTCTGCTCTAATAAAAGTTCTGGATGACATAGTGACTGAAGCTGACAAAGGAAATACATCTGCCCTTATTTTCCTTGATTACAGTAAGGCGTTTGACGTGCTTGATCACAAACTGCTTTGTGCCAAGCTTTCCTACTATGGTTTGGGTGAGAACGCTGTCAACTTTTTTAAGAGTTACTTGTCTAACCGTGTGCAAAGTGTACGGGTTGACAATGATATATCCACGCCTTTGACTCTTGCAAGTGGTGTTCCGCAGGGGTCGATACTCGGGCCTTTGCTATTCGTCATATTTATAATGGACATGTGTGATCACGTCACTGATAGCAGCATACATCAGTACGCTGATGATACGCAGGTGTACGCTAGTTTCGACAAATACAGTTGCGCTGAAGCAAGTGTGAGGCTGAGCAACAGTCTAGAACGTATTTTCGAATATTCGAAAAGCAATGGTCTAAAATTAGCAAATTGTCTCAAAGGTGTTACATCTATCTTAGAAATTGTGCTTCAGAAATGAGGTGCAAAATCGCGGTAAAAGGTAATCTACATGTTTCAGTGTTCCCAAACATAAGACAGCACTATTTCAGCGTTCATTTTCTTGCTCGGTTCCAAGGCTGTTTAATGGTGACACATGTGGTAGGTTTGACGAAATGTCCTCTTTTCAAGGATTTCGACTTGCTTTTAGGAGGACGTTGCTAAGTCGATATTGACATGACTGTGTTTTTTCTCTTTTCTTATTTCTTCCTCTCTGTTTTGATTTTACTGTAAATACTAATGAATAAGGTAAATAATTATAACAATGTTATTGTAATTTGAATTTGAATGCTCGGTTAAGTGAACAGCTATGCTGCCCTTCGCCGAGTGAAAAATAAAGGCCATTTATTATTATTATTATTATTATTATTTTAATTTTTTTAATTTTGGGTTTAGATTTAGGCACCTAATTATCTTCGTTTTTTTTTCAGATGGAAAATTCGCTTTAGTTTTATTGGTGATTTGTGTAATTGGAAAAACCAACCACCATAAAATATACGATTGAAGATTCCCAGGAATCATGCTTATTTTTTGGTAAAACGCAGCAGGAGATAGAGGACATAAGGTTCCCCTTGAGAGCCCCAAGATTCAAATGATTTGTGAATATTTGCCCCAATAAAACAAAAATCATGTGCAGCGTCGAACACGTGGTAGAAGTGGAACTTCTTAAAAACTATCCCAACTATCCCCTCTCATACAACTTTTAGACGTCAGGATAAAGACGAATAGAAACGCGCATCTGTAATGACGTCACAAGGGTATCGGCGCTTGACAATAATCCTCTTTGCGCTTATAATCCTTGATTTGTGGAAATCAATTGCTGTTTTTCTCATTCTTTAATATAATTTTTGATAATACTTAAATATTACAACATTCCCATCCTCTTACCTTCTGAGCTCCTTTACCAAGCTCGTGGAGAAGTTAATCCTGTTCAGGGTCAACAGGATCGTCGAAAACTTCTCCATACTCCCAAACGAGCAGTTCGGATTCCGCCCCCGTCACAACACGACTTTTTTTGCAGCCAAAATCTGCTGCGACACCTTCCAAGCGTTCAACAGGCGCATGAACGCGACACTTCTGCTTCTAGACATGGAGCGCGCCTACGATAGGGTCTGGCATGCAGGCCTTATCTACAAATTACTCGCACAATTCGATTTCCCATTGCACATCATCTCCTTGATTCAGTCTTTCATCTGCGGCCGCACTTTCTTCGTCAAACAAGACGATGCCCTCTCAAATTCCAAGCTAATTCAGGCCGGAGTGCCGCAGTGGTCGGCACTCAGTCCGCTGCTGTACTCTCTGTACACAGCAAACATTCCAAAATTCAGTATATAAATCTGGCGCTGTACGCAGATGTCACCGCTGTTTAAGCTCAATCCTTTTACACACAAGCAACAAAATTTCAGCTAGCCCATCACCTTGCAATCCTTCAACCTTATTACGATAGGTGGAAGCTTGGTTTTAATGGTCAAAAGACGGAGCTCATATGCTTCCACAAGAATCGGTCCCAACTCCCCCCTATCGCCAGGTAACAAACTTTTAATTTATAAACAGGTTATAAGACCTATGCTCACCTATGAGGCCCCTGTCTGAAACATAATCTCCAGAACGCAGAGGAACCGCCTCCAGCGATTTCAAAATCGAATACTGAGGAGAGTGCTGTCGGAATCCAGGTACGCCAAAATAAGGGATATGCATGAGCAAACATTCATTCCTTTTATATCTGACTACCTGGATGAAATCAGTGACAAATTCTATCGACACCAAATTCACGGCTCCCCTCTAACTGGCAGAATAACTGCACAAAGATATGATCCAGACAACCCCATAGTTCACGGTCCGCCATACAAGAATCTACCTATCTATTTTGAACCCCCATGAACACCTCCCTATCCCGAACCTGCTAATCATAAACCCAAGTAAAAAACCCACACCAATGCACAGCTAAAATCCTATCTTCAAAACAAAATTAGACAAAAATTTTGGCGCTGGCACCAACAGCCTTAGCCTAAAGCAGGAGGCTCTGGCAATCCCATCAAAGGTCCAATTTCTACCCTCCGTTCTTCAGAAAATTCCAACCAGCCAGCGATTTAGTGTGTAAACATCTCCTTTATCGCTGGCTATGCTATGAGGAAATGCACTTGTCTAATTTTTCATCGGACAACCCCAACCTGACCACTATACTTAGGCGAAAACTGCCCAATTTAGCTGCAAATGCATATCCCAATCCTGGTAGATTCTTGCACCCAACCCTCATTCTCTGATATCCCTCACAAACCTCCTGCACCTGCACCAAAACCACTACCTAAAGACTCATCAGGTCTCAGAATTGGCCAGGGTGTTGACCCTATTTAAACCAAGCCCGCACTCACGCGAACATGCCCTTAGCTCACACTTTGTTGTTGAGGAAGCGTCCAATGAACCAAACCGCCCTACGGGGCACGACTTTTTGTTTTTTTTTTCGTTATATGATTAAGTTAATTGGAAGTGGAGTTTTTTGGAACTTTTCCCCACAAAGGGAGCGCTGCGCGCTCGACACTCCATACCATGCATCAACCCCTATTTTTTGAGCGGGCCGATATAGTGGCTCAATGTGCGCCATCCGTGGTATTTACCAGCAACCAGGGAATGTTGAAAAAAGATCCAATAGGAACAGGACAGTGGTTTGTCGGCCAGAACATCGGCCAAGCTAACGATAGTGTCACACAGCACGCTAGGCGCGCATGTGGCACGCAGTGTGCTGCGCACACTGAATGTTTAGTTGTAAGTCATGTCCTTAGATTAAGTAATTGTTATATGTATATTGTTCGAGGGGAGCCTCACCTTCTTTCTTGTATATTGTAATGTTTGAATTGAAAAATAAAGAGATTTTAAGTTTGAGTATCTGCATCTGTATGAGACTGAACAGGAAACCTTCAGAATTTTCAAAGACTTTAATCAAAAGCCTCAGAAGTATCAGCCAAGGCTTCAAATTCTTTAGTCTTCCATGTTGTGTTTAGTTCATGAAAATCTATAGTAAATATTCCAAAATTTATTCAGAATATTTGAATATTTGTATAATAACTGAGAATATTCAGATATAGAATAGGTAAATCAAGTAGGTATTCGAATGCTAAAATTTCGAAAATTCCTACTCCTACTTACAGCAGGGTACTCAAGGGTAGCCTATTTCTATTTTTATTCCAAATTTTTCTGGATTTCAAAAAAAGGATTTTTTTGAAGGTGAATATGTGGATTCGTCTTTGGACAACCAATCCAAAACTTCAAAAGTGCCACAATATACAATTTCAAAACATTAACTAAAGAAATCATGTTTCCAACCACTGACATAAATAATAGTTTATTGCAATATCGTAAAATGAAGATAGAATTTATGGGATTCCTGTAGCAATTTCCGCTGTTAATAGGGGCTTACTACCGAATCGAGTTTATGCTCAATTAACCTGTAATAATAATTATGCGAACGTCAAGGGCAATTATAACATTACGCAACCCATACTGCACAGATAACCGGGCGAGATAAATGTACATGTTGCCAATAATTGATCTCCTACCCTGCACATACCGCTATAGTTAATTTTAATGTAAAACGTTAAATGTATATCATAACCAAATTGATAATGTAGAAACAAGTAACAGAAAAACTGTGAGTTTTATTATTAAGTAAGGTATTGTATGAAAAGAAATCCACTTACTTCATCTCTTTATCGCTTTTATTGCCAGCAAATATCATCGGTATCCTAGGCTGGACCTTTTTCCTTGTCAAGCCTCCACTACTTCCCGCAGCCCCCGCATTGACTTTAGTCTCTATTATTTGCTCTCGTAGCCTAATTGCCTCCTCGAAGGTCTCTCGACTGTCCATGCTGAAGACTATTACAAACAGGTCACCTAAAAATAGAAGAAAAAAAATACGATTTTAACGCTTTGGATGGACGAGAAGGGGCGTAAATAAGCTGACATTAATGGAGAATGTTATGTTATTTGTTTCCGGGTAGCACGCTATTGTACGTGTTTGTTTTGAAAAATAAATAACTACAAACAGAAAAATTCTAAATTCTGTTCAACAGGCTCCTTTAAAAAAAAGAATTATTAAAATGCGCATAAATTACGCGAAGCTTTTTCCTTGAAAACAGGTAAAGAATATTTTCTTTTTAAATTCAAAATGAAATATTAGAATTTTGCTTATTGTTGGAACTCGTGAAAAGTCTCGAGATATCCATCATAATGCGGCGAAGGTAAATTTAATTACGTTTAGGGTTGTGAATAGTTTTGGGCTAAAGTATGCACAGGAATTTGTTGAATTTAACCAGAGTTTCATCGGCAAATTACAGGATTTTTAAAAGAATTTGACCTTCTCGTGTTAATGAATTTTAGATATTTGAGGTCCGTTCTGTTAGTAGCAGAAGTTTAATGTTTGGTGGAAACATGATATATCTACCTTTAGGAGAGTTGTTGTTTTTGGCCATATAAACTTTGATGGTTCTGTATAAAACTAATTTCAAACTTTGTATGTGAGTGAGATATTGTAATTGGATTTTAAGATTTGTATTGGTTTACTAAAGGTCGAGAAGAAAAAAGTTGATATATAAGGTGAGTGGCCCTTTGTATGACAAATTTAATAAGTTTTATTCTCTTTGCTGTTGAGTTGATTTGATTTAAAAAGGTTTTTGTTTCTAGCCTCTCTGAAGGTTAAAAGCTTTTTTTTTTGCTTTTCAAAGGAACTTTCAAAGCAATTTCTAGCTTTCAAATACAAACACTAAACTCAATTTTACCAGATTAGAGGTAATTTTTCGTCATTGACTGAGATCCTCCAAAGACTGTCTTTGATTTTTTTCTTCAAACAAATCCAATTAACCTTGTATAAGAGTTAATTAATTAATTTTTTGAGGCATTTGATGATCTTATTCTCTGGAAATAATTAATTTAAAGTTTCTGATAATCATTCGTGGAGGTTCTTCTGAAGCTTCAGGTAATTATTCTTGAGGCTCTTCTTTTTCAAATTCGTCCTATTCAAGTTTTTAAGGCATTGACTCTAGAACCTTCTCAGATTTCTTCTTCTGAAGCTTCTGGCAATTACTGTATTCCTTTTATACATCGAGTTACACCGAACGAGCTCCTCGGAGTCACTCAAAAACACACAATGCAGATTTTACCATTATTTTTTAATAATAACATACCGTCATTACCTAAAAGGGCTTCTTGCACCCCCCGTAAATTTGGTGCATCAGGGGAAAGAGGGATGCACTATGAGCGACTCCAGTGCTTAACGCACTTTTAAAAGGAACGTTCAAGCTTTTGACATTGAGCAGCTCCGAGTAACTCAACGGGTAAAAGGAATACAGTAGATGATCCAAAGCTCATCTCTATTTAGTCCCATAGAGTTAATTGCTTTTATGAATCCTCAGATGTTGATTCCTAATCTTTGATTGATTGAATTTTTCACATAAATATTTTCGAAAGCCTGGAATAATGAAATGACAAATAATGATGTGATAAATTTAATGAGTAAGAAAGGGACACAGATGAAATGGGATAAAAAATTGTGACACGAATTTTGATTATTCTTGGCGCTTGAGTGGATTTTTAATTTTTATGTCTGACAATTTTAAGAGCCTGAAGCAAAGATAGCAATAAACTAAATGAGTGAGAAAGTGACACAAGCAGAAAGGAGAGTAGAAAAAAATAAATACAATTTTCTATTCTACTATTTTATTACTTGTGTCTCTCTTTCACCCATTGAATTTATAATATCGTTCCTTTATTATTTCATTATTCCAGGCCCTTGATTAGCTAAACTCAGAATAGAGTATAGGGAAAAGAATTGTGACACAATTGCGACAAAAACTGTGACATATTTTTTTATCCAATTTTATCAAAATTTTTATTCAGAACTAGAAAAGGAATCTACAATTTGTGTGAATTTCAGTTTATTGATACTCTTTGATAAATATTATGGCTTGAATTATAGAAAAATTAAGTCAGTTGATTACTGGAAAATGCATATGGTTTATTGATTATGAGTCTATTTAATCTAATTTTGAACTAGAATGTATTCAAAGCTTGAATTCACAACACACCATCTACAAAATAATATTATTAAAAAATAAATTTAATATGTCCTTTCATAAAGCGAAAAAAATATCCTTTCACGACTCGGTTTCCAACGTTCCCCCTTTTCCGTACATATTTAACAGGTAACAGGGCATCACTTGAAAACAGAAAATCCATTCAGTGAAACTGGGACGCCCTCCTAGTTCTCTATATTTTGTAAAAGTGCATGCCTGAGCGTATCGTCGCTTTTACATGCTTTTCGGAAAGAGAAAAAGGAAATTAGTTCTGTTCGCTAATCTACAATTGCACTTGTTCAAAGAAGTCTATTTTGTGTTATTAAAATACTAACATTTCGAACAGAAGTGCTATATATTTTCGATGGTGATTGAGACTTTTGAAGTATTACTTATTTCACAAAGCACAATATATAAATTGGAAAATTCTGAACGGGCATTAGTTTGAGGTTTCGAAACAATAGACGATATTCAGTATTTTTAAATTCAGAGTCACTAATGTAGAGAAGGTAGGCAAGTAGGGTGTTTTTTTATATTTTGACACCCCACCTACAGCCTTTTACCTTTACAGGTAGAAGAAAGGTTTAAATACAAAAGTTGTACAGTTTTGGCTGAATTTTTAGAAACCATGGTCAGAAAGAAAATTTGAATGTCAGAAATGTGAAATTTTGCATGCTTCTAGCTTTTTTCAAAATAGGATGCCCTATATTTCATTCTATATTCTTGAAGAGCACAATGCCCCAATCCCAAAAATATATAGTTTGTCTATATTTGATTGAACAGTCTCTCATATATTCAGCTCCAAAAATTGTAATAGTTATTTATGCAATAAGTGTGTAAAGTGAACCTTTTTTCACGAATGGGAATTTTGACGCACGAGCCGAAGGCGAGTGCGACAATCACATGAGTGAAAAAAGGTGCTTTACGCACGTATTGCATACAAATTTTTTTCTACTACCAATCAAATATGTGTAAAAAAATAAATTTAGACAAATTCTTCACGCACTAGTGCGTAAAGTATTTTCACTTTACGCACTAGTGCGTGAAGTAATTTACCAGAAAAATAGTAATTTGACAAGTTGACATCTGTCATTGACATTACTTTACGCACTAGTGTGTGAAGTGAACTACTTTACGCACTAGTGCGTGAAGAGAAATTTTACGTCTTCTGAATAGTGCGTAAAGTGAGTACTTTACGCACGGTAGTAGAAAAAAATACTATCCTACTATTGATTTTGTGAACCATTCTACCTGTACAGGTGGAAGCTATAAGTAAAATTTGACGTACTTGTTGGTTTCTCTGATAGTATCACATTTTTAAAATGTTTAGAACCAAATATGTTAGAGAGGGCTCAACCAAATATAGATAAACTATATAGTTTTGGAATCGGGAAAATGTGCTCAAGAATATAGAACCAAATATAGGGCATCCCATTTGAAAAAAGCTGAAAGCATGCAACATTTCACATTTCTGGCATTTAATTTTTGTTTCTGACCATGGATCATCTACTTGTAAAGGTAAAGACTGTAGGTGAGGTGTCAATATATAAAAAAACACCCTGTACTTGAACAATAACTTATTATATAAAGTCAGAATTTGTAATATTATCTACTTTTTGTCAATTTGCCTTTTAACAGGAATTAGTAATGTTACTTTACCAAACTAATAATATAATGTGACAAGTTATTCAAGTACAAACGAGTGAATTGTTGCGGAACTTATGGGTGGACCTCTGCAGGACTAGTGCAGCGAGTTCCGCAGCCTTCTATCCATTAATATGTTGTTTAATTACGATACTAACCTGCCTCACTCAAATTTGAGTTATTCTCATTAGTTTAAAAAGTACATGTTTCAGGTGAATGTCTTACTTGAACAGTTCAACAGAATATTGGTGGGTAGAGGTCCACCCATAAGTTCCTCAATAATCCACTTATTTGTACTTGAACAATAACTTATTATATAAAGTTAAAATTTGTGAGATTATCCACTTTTTGTCAATTTGCCTTTCAACAGGAATTAGTAATGTTACTTTACTTAACTAGTAATATAATGTGACAAGTTATTCAAGTACAAACGAGTGAATTGTTGCGGAACTTATGGGTGGACCTCTGCGGGACAAGCGCAGTGAGTTCCGCAGTCATCTATCCATCAATATGTTGTTTAGTTACGATACTAACCTGACTCACTCAAATGTTAGTTATTCTCATTAGTTCAAAAACTACATGTTTTAGGTGAGTGTCTTATTTGAATAGTTCAACAGTAAACTGGTGAGTAGATGGCTGTGGAACTCGCTGCGCTCGTCCCGCAGAGGTCCACCCATAAGTTCCGCAATAATCCACTTATTTGTACTTGAACAATAACTTATTATACAGTGTGTCCACTTAAGTTCGCAGCATATGGGAAACTTTTTTATTATCAATTTTACGAAAAAAAGTTATTCTTTATAAAAGTTTCTGCTTCTTGGAAAAATAGTAATAATCTATTAAAACTTGAAATAGCATGTACAGGGTGGTCAGAAAATGACACGTCACTATTTTTTTAAACCTTTGATATTTTTTTCAGATTAAGCAAGTCAGATTACAGTCAAAAGATACCTTTCGTTATCACAAATAAACCTACCAAATTTGAAAAAAAAAATTGGAAAAGGTATTTTTGAGCTGAAAAAACGATTTTTTCTAAAACTTTGACACCCTGTATCTCAAAAACTACGCATTTCCGGACACATGTTTATGGGAACTTTTTTTCTTAAAACTATATAAGGAATCACATCCTGAAGTTACGAACCGTACTTAGGAAGTACCCTGTATATTTATCTATTTTTT